AGGGGGGGGAGCGAGGGCGCCGCGGCCGCGGGGCTGAGCGGCGAGAAACCGGAGCGGCGACGTTCCGGGGGATGGATACCTATTGACGCGCCGGGGGAAGAGCGGCGAGGGAGTGACCACGGCGGCGGCGGGCGGCGCCCGCCATCATCCGTGTCCCGGCGCGCTAGCTTTAGCAAAACCACTGGTGGTATCGGGAGGGGCCACGGTGGCAGTAGTAGTAGTCGGAGCACGCGGGGCGCGTCGAGCAAGAATCGAAGCGGGAACGACACGGATGGTCCGTCATGGCTTGGTCGAAAATAACGGCGTGTTTTCGTCGCCGCCGCTGCCGCCGGTGGGGGGCCGACAAATTACAGTTTTTAAAGTGTAAGGGATGTGTGTTAGACGCGGGGGTGTGCTGATGTAAATGTTTTGGGGGGTGGCGCCCGCCTAATTTTTTTTTGTGGAGTGTGGCGTGGAAATAGCTGGTTGGTCTCTTGGTATCTGTTGTTATTAATGATTTTAATATGTTTGTTCGTTTGACGGTACGGTGCCTCACATTCCGTGTCACCCGCCGTTCGTTCTGCTGGCGGAGCGGCTGCAGCAGCAGCAGCAATACCAGCAGCGGGCTGCTGCACTTGCAGGCCTGTCGTTTGTTTTTTTCCGTGCTTGGTGTGTTTGTGTGTTTGCGCTTTTCTCAGACGAACAGGAGACGCTTGATCCCTTTACGAGCGCCTGTCTCCCCACGCTAAAACAAGGCAGGCATCAAGTTGCCGTTGACGCGTACCGTGGGAAGGTTTCGAAGAATAACAGACACAAACCTACTTGATGATTGGTTAAAATATCGATGACGGACTGTGATTGCGCCGAGCGCGCTGCAGGTGCCCAGGAGGCGTTGTTACTCGCCTTCCTGCGCCTGAAAAGGGTTGCCTGTAGGTGCGATGTACTTGGGTGCGGCGATTTTTTTGTTTTTTGGTTCAGTCGCTTGTGTGTTGTCGAAGATTAAGAAAAAATCATTTGCAATGCCACGCGTGTGGCTGTCAGGCCGTGTGACTCCCGAGCTCATGATACGCCCGAAACGTATCGAAAGGTGTGAGCCGACGTCTAGGTAGACAGGACGCGCAGGCGCGCAAGAAAGGGTGGTTTGTCTAGCTTTCGCCGTTGCAGAGAAAGCCCTTGCAAAAAACGTCGTGGTTGATTTTGTACACCCGCCCCCCGGGTGTGCGAGAGTGCGCAACTTGATTTTAAAGAGGATGGCCCACTCTACACTCAAGTGGCCGAAACTGTCTGTGGCCAAAAGCAAGTGCTGTCCACACCGAAAGCGTCCTCAGATTCGTTTCGCCGATTTCTTCTAGCCGCAAAAGGAACTGAATCCCTTTTGTAAAAGGGGCTTCAGAATAGATGAGAAGACAAGGAAGTTTCTTTTGGAACGGGTAGATCACGACAGCAGGAAGGAGCGAGGCCGCCGTAGAAACGATCAGGAATAATAGCCGAGCTCACGCTTTGCTCGATCGAAGACATCAACTTACTGCCGCCACGCCATCTGCCGGGGGTGGGAGATGTCTTGTAACTCTCGCATACTCAACTTATCATGCGGTCGCCTTTAGCTAGCTGCGCATGTGGTTGGACTGCTGTAATCTTTCGAGGTTCGCAACTCAATAAAGTATGGTGCTCCTGTCGGCGTCGTAGGCGCTCAGTCGAAGCAGTACGAAGAATCTGTGTATTTTGCGTGTGTGACTACTGTATCGTATGCATGCAAGGCTGATACAAAAATGCCGCAGTGGCAGCACATATGTACATGCTTACTACGGGCGCCAGTTTGTGGTTCAGGTTCCGCACTAGTTTTGCGGGGACCACACGCACAAAAAAACGACTAGGAGAAATCTATCCTATGCAGTAATCAGCGTATCTTCGCCGTACGCATACAACCGGTCGCCACTTCTTACCCCCGCATTGAGGCGAGCCTCGCCACCAAACACAGCAAGAAAATCCCCGACGCTTCGTCAGCTAAAAAAAAAAGCGATTGATCATATGTTTTCCTACAGCAACCAAACAGCGGAGAGCATTCGTTCACTCATGGACACACGTGCCATCCAAACCTGTATATATTGCCTGCCCTGAGATGGGCAAGTCGGTACCGCCGCACCGTGTTTTACGTTCGCCACCCACGGCTACTACCCTGTCCTATGCATACTGTAATACTACGCGAAAAATGTGGGGGCTCTGAGAACCCCCCCACTTTCTTCCAGCTCTAACGTACCATGCATGAGTGGAGCAAAGAACACACCAAGAGAGCGGTGTCGCCGTAAGGGGCAGCGAAGGGGCTTACGAAGCGGAGCACCGCCTGCGATCGGAAAAAAACATGTTGATACTATACAACAATAGACACACGTACGTGTGTTTCCAAGATGCGACTACATACGTAAAACCAACCGAAGCCGGTCGCTTGCCTTGCACAAAACGGAGCAACAAATCAACCGGCCGCACGACCAAGCACACAGACGTAGCCCACGGCTCCTACTTTCTACGCGTAGTACATACCACAATCTATATATACCAGGTAAAAATTCGTATATACAGCCGTGTTGAGTGAGCGGCATCACGGTCCGGTCCTCCAACTGCACTGCTCCTTTCTTTTTCTTCAATCCACATCGTGCACAATGAAACATGGAAAGGGCGACGCAACTACAGCGACGCAACACGAACGCACGGGCGCCAAACCCGAACAAACACGGGTCGCACCGGCTGTAGATTTTTGAGTTCGTGGAGCCTGGCGGTGGCCAAGCAAAAACAAAACAAAACGGCAGACCAGAGAGAGAGAGAGAGAGAGAGAGAGAGAGGGAGGGAGGGAGGTGGACGTCTCATCTCACCTGCCAGGGCTCCTACGACTAGACTACGCGGTACGAGCCATTACACCGGAGCGCCACCGCTAACCCCCAAAGTCAGACCGCATGTGCTTCGAGCACTGGTAGGGACAAGCAGCAGCCCGCCGCCGCTGCCCAAGAGTATTGCAAACACCACGCCAAAAAAAAAAATCGAGAAGAGATAGAGCAGGCACGAACTTGGAATCTGTAACGCTGACTGCCAAAACGTGCGAGTCATCGCACAACCCGGTGTGAATAGACCGACTGTTCAAAGCTCGATTGCTCCACCACAAGGAGGGTTGAAGAACCCTACCGTTAGATCCAAGAAATCTCTTGATCGAATGCTTCCTGTTCGGCGTGTTTTACCTCTTCGTTGTGGAGCAATCGAGCTATGACAAGTCGGTCCAGGATGTGTTTGCGCAATGACTCGCACTTTAGGGTACGTCTCCGACGAGAAAGGGTACACAAGAAAGGCCAGGGTCGCGATCCGATCGCCTGCCCGGCCCGCCTACTGCGAGAAAGAGAGAGAGAGAGAGACAAGACAAGACAAGACACAACATAAACCGTAACACCCTTAAAAAGCGAACGCAGTCGAAGGCGAAACCAGAGACGTCAAACCCGATAAATGCCAACGCTGCCAATGTTTCGTGGATCATTGGTGGTGAGGTAAGACACGCCGACACCCTTCCTCCCGCAACCAACACTTACCCCCCCCCCCCCCCCCCCCCCC